TGAATATGTTTTTCTTCTTTTTATAACGGCATTTATTATAACAGGATGGGTTTGCAAATATATATCTAAAGCTTGCCTGATAGCATTTTTCAGGTCTTCGACATTGTTGTAGTTGCCACGATATATTTCATATTCCAAAAATCTCCAAATACAAAAATCGAGAACGAACAAATCCGGTGATCAGGGAGGCTATCGTATGGGGTCCATGGGTCCCAATTCATTAATTTGGGAAATAGTCATTTGACAAAATTCTAATATTTTCAGGTGTGAGGGGGGTCCGATCTTGCTGAAAGTATATTTCACGTAAATTATCTAAAGGAATATCTAAAAGTTCCGGTACGATAGCTTCCAAGATTTACAAATAGCTGTGGAGAGTTAAGTTTTCACGATATATATAAGGAATTTATTAGTGGCTCCCAAAACTAAACAAGAGACAGATAGCAGTATACTTTTAATAATTCTTTAGCTTCTTTTATTATCAATCATGGCCTACTAATAAAAATGATTTTTTAATGAAAACGTTTAAATATCAGGTACAGTAAATAGTGAAAATAAATATAGAGTGATATATATTTTTGAAGAGCTTATCAATATAATTTAATGCAATTCGATGCAAGCTATATCATATAATTTATAAATATACAGAGTGTTTCATTAAAGAAAACATAACTTTAGTTCATATCTTCAAAAATATTATTTTCGTAGAATAACAGACTACGCCATTGTATTCTACATAAAGGTTCTACAATAAACAATTTTTACCTTCTCGATACCTTTTACAATAACGAAATACGGGAGGTGTCCCAAATTGCAAAATTTTCAAAAAGACCCTGTAGCACAGAAACGAAGAGGGCTACGAAAATTTTATTTACAGCATTTTCTGTAACAAAAAAGTGGGACAGGTTGGTGCAACCCGCACACTCTGATCCTCACTAATAACGGAGATACCGTATGATTTCAACTAAAATGGGACCACCCTGTACAATAAATTAGTAAACTTTTTTATATTAATTGTGCGACCAAATTTGAATATTTTGACACTTAACGAGAAGACTAAAATATATTTATATTTTTTAAAATGCTACTGGGATTTAGAATCTATTAACATAGATTTGGAGACTTGAGACTATATATTCATGAACAAATTTGCGAATCAAATCAAACTGGCGTAACATTTAAATTCCAAAATAAAAAAGACTGTTTTGTGAAATTCTACAACGTTAGAATACAGCAAACAGAAACCAGTTTCTCAGTCGCTTTTTATTTGTAGACATATTTAACTAAACCAACAAAAAATATTTAAAGTTTTAGGAAGTATAGATATCTATCCCCATCGACAGAAGCAACTGAGAATTGAGAATTCACCTCAATACACCAAAAAATGAGAATACAGGAAACATTACTCAAAATGTTTAAATCTATCTATAATCAAATCATATTGGATCGCAGACATATTTTGTCTATTAACACCAACACAGGATAAGTGTACAGGGCGGGTCAAATTCGCCGCTTTTAAATGGAAACACCCTTTTCTATGGGAGATAGACAAAAACTAATATTCCAGAGCACCTTTTTACGTAGAATTTAATGGTTTAAGTATAATTTTTTTAAAATTAATAATTTAAGAATTATGAACAGAAAATTTGATTTTTTATATGGGACACCCTGTATATTTTTAATTTATTGAAAAGAATTTAAAATTACCTTTCTAAAAATATAACACACTTGATATTTTGCTCGATTCCTCTTTGAGATATAGAGTATATAAAAATTCGCCCCCTTTAAATCAGTAGGCTTTGAACGGCACCGGCTGTAATGCAAAAAAAATCTAGCTGTGAGCATCAATAAAATTAATAATATATTTTGTTTATCCTTATAGATACAACAATTTCAATAAATGAAAATTAAAGCTAGGACTTTTTTATGTAAAAAAGAAAAAGGTGCTCTCTCGGCACCCTGTAAAGGGTGCCAAAAGATACAGGGCAAAAAACCAAAAACCACAAACCAAAAACCACAAACATATAAAATATGATATCTTGTATATGTTTAATAAATTTACAAATGTGATAAAAGTCACACATTAATCCTACATTTTTTGTATTTCTCTTTCTGTACTTTCAAAATTAATTTGAAGAGAAATTTCTAGTTCAGAGTTTATTACTCTAAGGTGCGGAAGCATTGAAGTTTTCCTGTTAAATATCGATCGTAACCGGATAATGAGTTTTACGCGGTTAATCTTTGGGATAGTCCCTAAGCATTCTCGAGGTTCTTTTGTGTTAATCCTACGTTTTTAAGGGAGTCGTTTTTTTACAAGAAAACAATGTTCAGACCCTGCCTGGGACTAATCGTTTTTAAGTTTTTAATTTTGTTGTTCTTTTTGTTAATTATTTTCGAGCGATAAATTAATTTTGGAAAGTTTTATTTTTAAACCACAATAAAATAAATAATATTCTCTTCCTGTATTAAAATGGAAACAAATGGAAATTAATGTAATTTTTGAAGTGAAACTTCTTTGCGCGCGATGGGAGTAAAAATTCAAGGTCGCGACACACGAGCTAGCGTTACGCGAAGCGTCACGCCAAGTCGCCAAGCGTCACAAAAATGGTATCTATCTTGGAGCGTCGTAACTTGTGCCCTGTGTGACCTAGGGAGTTGAAACTCGAAATGTAGATGGGGTTTGAAGTGCCCCATCTTTTCATGATATTTTGACGACCCCATCATCCATAGTGAAAAAATCGTCCGATGTAATGGGTCTTTGGAGCGTCGTAACTCGGGCCCTATGTGAACTAGGAGGCTGAAACTCGGAATGTAGACAAGGCTCGAAGAGCCCCATCTTTTCATGATACATTCAGATGCAAAAAAAACGCAACGGAGAAATTTTTGGTCAAATTAAAGTGTTGTATTTTTGTTATTTTTAGCCCTATTTTTATGATTTTTTTAGCAAACTGTGTATAATTATATCAACTTTAATTTTTAAACTAAGTTTTTTATAAACTTTAGTATTTGGCATATTATACAGGGTTATTCGAGGGGTTGTTTTTTTACCTCAACTTTAAAACACCCTGTGCAATAATTTCGTTTTTAAATTTTCCTAAAATATAATTTTATGATCAGAACCATGACACCTGAGCATTTTGTTTTTTGGATCATGTCAATATATGCATTGGTTAGTTTTTAAGAGCGAAATGAACTGATCACGATCAGTTTGCAATTTTTTCAATTATCATTACTTTTTGATGCAATTTTTTAATGACGAGATGGTTTTGGTTACTATTGTCATAATGTCATATTACGCTGCATTGGATATTTTATACTAAATAAAAATAAACGTTAAAGACTAATGTTACAGTCCTGGTTTTAATAAACATTAATAACGATAACAGAACTAACTATATTAAAGAAAGCATCTGTAATATTTAAGTATACAAACAGAAAAAAAAAATGTAAAAAATATCCTAATACATTGCATTGCTTCCCATGGCTGCTATAACTGCTTGTATACGTCCGTTCATACTGTCATTGAGGCTACATATATCATATTGTGTTATGCTTTCCCATTCTTCTTTAAGAACTAAGCTAATTTCCATTAAAGAGGCTGGAACCTCTTTGCGACCTCTGACCCTCCTGCCAAGCGTGTCCCAAACGTCGAACATGATGGGCAGTTCATAGTAGTATATAGTTCACAATAATCACCAAAGCCGGCTGTCATATTGAAAAATAACTTAAGAAATGATAATTGAAAAAATTGCAAATTGTTGGTGTCAAGTTCATTTCGCTCTTAAAAATTAACCAAGGCATATATTGACGTGATCCAAAAAACAAAATACTCAGAAAACATGGTTCTGACCGTAAAAATATATTTTAAGAAAATTTACACACGAAATTGTTGTGCAAGGTGTTTTAAAGTTAAGGTAAAAAACAACTCCTCGATTAACCCTGTATAATATGGCAAATACTAACGTTATATAAAACTGAGTTTAGTAATTAAAGTTTATATAATTATGTACAGGTTGATAAAAAATTCATGAAAATAGACCTAAAAATAACAAAAATATATCAGTTTTAATTTGACCAAAAATTTCTCCGTTGCGTTTTTTTGCATCTGAGTGTATTTTGACTTTTTGTGCACTACGAAACCCCATCATCAATGAATCAAATCAAAAAATCGTCCGATTTAAATGAAATTTGGTATGTCAATAGATTGGACCAAGGCCAACTTGACCGTATACGACACGTTTCACAGTGACAGTTAATTTTGACGTAACAAACGTCAAAAGTTATTTCGTCCTATCGCGACCAAGTTTGGAGGGTAGCAAATGTGAACGACGGTGCACACGGTCCAACCCTGCAAAGTTGGATACGACGTAACGACGTTTCGTTTACATCTTCATCAGGGTGGGACTAATGATTCGATATTGAGGAAAAATGTAGGACGATTTTAGCATAATTGGGGACGGGTTACAGGATGACACCCTCAACTTTTCGAACCGATGCGATGCCTCTAAATAGACGAAATCGTCAGGATTTTTCTTAATTTTGGGTCGATTGGATCTAAATTGGGCACGTGGATAGAGGTACCCGTATAGAGCACTCAGACGTACAGACAGGCAGACGAAAGTAAGAAGTAGTTTCACTTAAAATATGCGCACGTAGTGTACACCTAATTTTCTTTCCAGTGCAGATTTGAATAACAATATATTACTACTAAAAAGTTATTACATCACAGCTTACTCGGTACCAGCAGATCATCTTCATTTTTTTTGAGTTTCCGTCATTCGTCTGCTGCGGCTATTGGCCAGAGTTGTAATCGCCGGAGCACCAGTCATAATATAATTTTTAGAAGATTCATTAGAAGGCAAAACTCGATTTGATATAATAATAAATAATTAAATAATAAATTGATACTAAAATATTACTTTTTGGCAGAAAATATAAAATTATATTTTATTCGGACTTCTGTCTGCCTTTTTAATTATATTTTGTATTATTTTAATTTTCAGATTTTTCAAGCTCCCACATATTCCAAGGGCAAAAGCATCTATTTTAATGTGGCCACAATAAACAACAATAGAACAATGACTGTGGAAGGAGGCGGTGTCAACGCCACCGTTATTCAGCCGGACCTTGCGGCCAAAAACGGCATTATTCACGTCATCGACAGAGTTTTGGGAATTCCGTACACCACTGTTTTGGACAAGCTACGCAGTGACCCCATGTTGAGGTAAGTGAATTTGTAACGAGGCCTTTTCACTGTTTTATTTACATTTCATATAAATTAGTTTATTCAAAGCTTCATTCAGAACCTCGCAATTAGTGGAATAAATTAGCGGTTTCAATTACACTTTATACTTTTTAGTTTACGATCATTCACAATGTCTAAAAAACACAATCAAAATTAATAGAATATCCTAGCAATAGCATGCGCTAGTCAGTTTTATCCATAGAGTCTATTATTTAGCTTATAAACCAAACAATTTTTGATTTCTAACCACAATTTCTCTTGATAATCAAAGGCCAAGATGACATTCCTCGCAAATTTTGAAGTATAATTAGTGGAAAAGTTAAATGTTTGTTAACTTTTTCTACTAATTGAAAATGACTATCACTATTGACGTTCTGAATGCTTACATTTAAATTCAAGGAATAAACTTCTACGCAGTGGCGGATACAGGGGGAGGGCCCGGGCCCCCCCTAAAGTCTGTGAATTGTGTAAAATATTAGGCTTTTGTGTTAAAAATGGCGCCCTAAAAACCATATTCTACATTGCTTTTCATTTTGGGCCCCCCCTATAATAAATTCCTGTATCCGCCCCTGCTTCTGCGCTAATTGAAACCACTTATTTATTCCACTAATTGGGGCCTTACGCAACCTGAAAAAAAATTAAGTTTTAAATTAGTTAAAAATTAAAAAAATAACTATTGTCGGCAGTACTAGACCTATCTATACCGTGTATTGCATCGTCATCCTGAACCTAGGAAATTTCATGTAAATGTTGATTAAGTTTCTCCATTTTATTTTACAGAAAAATGTATTTAAAACTTTTTAAAGAACTTAAAATGAAGCAAATTGTTGATTTTAAATAATTTATACGGATTGATTTTTGAGTTATGAGAGATACAGAATTACTAAATTATACTACAATTTATAGTAATCCGGTCCTGGTAAAACAAACATAACAATTACGTCATAATATGACAAGAAATTAATATTTTATCAATTATGATAACAAATCTTTTATGATTTTCTCTGAAAAGTTTATGAAAAACCCTTTGTGTACACTGTAAACATAATAGAATCTTTAAAAAATCAAATATATTTCGTATATAGGTAATGTTAACACTCTCTTTCAAAATAAAATTATTTACTAAATACTAAACAGTTTGAGACAAAGATTGACAAAAAAGAAATAGACGGCAGAATAGAGAAGAAGACAAAATTGAGAATATTTGCCCTACGTTTTTCACCCCGTAGGTGTTTTGATTTATTTAAAAAAAAATATGCTTTTTTAAAGTTCTACTTTTTGACTATTTCTCCAAGTATCCTGGTACTTACTTGTTTTTCATCTTCTACTTGTAACACAACATTTAATTCATTTTCATTTATTATTCCTTGTTGATTTTTATCAATATAATGCTTCTTTTTATATTTACAGTCTTTATGGACTGGACACGCGTTTTGCTAACCGTTAGCATCATAAGCAGATTATTAAAATTAAACTAATATCTACAAATTGAGCGTTTATACCGGGTGCGTCTCAAAAGTGACTCACCCCCTATAACTTTTTTATTTTTTCAGATAAAAAAACGAAATTTGGTATGTTAGTACATGACATAAATTAGGATTGATTGACGATTCAATTGTTTTTGGTCACTTCCTGTTTCACCGGAAATTAATACAACTTTCGATTTTTAAATGGCACCCGCGGTATTTTTTTGCCTTATTCGATAGAAACTGACATTCTGAATAGAATGACATATCATATGTCAACTTTTGACGTTCTCGCTTAATAAAAAATCGTATTTTAAAATGTAATCTAGAGTTAAAATTTAAAAAAATTAAATAATTTTTAATTTTAATTTTTAAATTTAATCTATGTTAAAGACACTAATTCTTAGCCAAGGAGTCTTGGAAAAATATATTTGATCGTCTAAAGCTTTTAGTATTTTGTCCTGACCAGTTAGACAATGCTCAAAGCGTATTTTTAATCATATCTCGATTTTTTCAAATGGAACGAGGGTAGCTCATTAGCATATTTGGAAAAAGCATTTTTTACGAATAATTTGATACCACACACTTGGTATTTCAAGTCAAAATTTCGTTACGAACCGCAAGTTATAATTTCAAATAACCCATATGCGAAAATGTCAAAAGTTGACATATGATATGTCATTTTCTGTCGAATAAAGTAAAAAAATACCGAGGGTGCCATTTAAAAATTAAAAATTCTAGTCATTTCCGGTGAAACAAGAAGTGACCGAAAACAATTGAATACGTCAATCAGTTTTAATTTATGTCATATACTAACGTACCAAATCTCGTTTTTTTAACTGAAAAAATAAAAAAGTTATAAGGTGAGCCACTTTTGAGACGCACCCGGTATACTCGAGCCATAACTAGCCAAGCGAGTCAAAAAGAACCGAGCGTAAAGCGGCCCATACATTATCAAAGAAATTGCGCAACAAAGCGATGCGCAACGTTACGTTGCACAACTGATTCAGCGACACATATATTATCAAACAAATTGCGCTACAAAGCGATGCGCAACGTTGCGTTGCACAACTGCCTCACACATGCACTTGTAAAATGTTGATCAAAGTTTTTATTAAAAGTTGTGCATTGTTCGAGAAACAATCATGTCCTCAATTGCCATTGCGTCGATTATTATCGTATATGCCCTAGATGATGTCGATGTTACCAAAAAACGAAAATGAAAACAAAGAATTTGAATAAACGAACTAAAATATTGCACAACAAAGCGCAGCAAACATATATACTACACAACGCGTTGCGCAAACAGTCCCGTTGTACAAAAGAATTCAAACCTTCTTGAAACTTATCAAATAATTGCGCAACGCATCAAACGTTACCATACATTGGCAACTCGTTGCACAACAGCCTGTGTTACGCAAATTGTTTGATAATGTATGGACCGCTTAACAATTAATTACAGAAACTAAAGCGGTAGGAACAGAGAACTGGAAGGAATTGGACCATTTTCTCTGTTCATACTATCTTTACATTTATTAATTTTAACGCTCTCAATTAATCATTAATTTAATAAACTCTGTGATTCTTTTTGTCTTGTCATTAACAATATTTATTGATGAAAAAAAATCATTAGAAAACCAGTTGATTTATATCTAGATCGGATTGAAAAAAAGGAATAAACCGAGCATTCGTTTATTTATCTTCAGAATCAACCCTCGTTCAAAGTTATTTTTGCCACGATTAAAAAAACCCTCCTCGCTAATGAAAACCTAAATTCAACTTCCATTCGCGAATTGATCAATTAACCGTTGGCGTGGAGGCTTTGTAGCCGGAATTACTCTCTGAAAAATGAACCTAGTGGGTTTTCCAATATATACCGTAACAAGAACGAGCAATATTCGGTTTTTAATAGATCAGGCACAACAGGGTATAAGGCAAAGGGAAAATTGAAAGTATAAATTTACCAAAGCTGGGCTAAAATAAAATTATACTGCCTAGTCGACTGATAAAAGGGGGGTAAAAATTAGATTAAATAATACACTAGTAGGATGGATCGATTCTTACGATGAATAAAATTAATTGTATATAAAATTGCAATAATTATACAGGGTGATTCACGGCGATGGCACGTTAGACGTTTATGGAGAGCCGGTGATACGATTTTTTTTAAATTTGGATTTTTGTATAAAATCACTTGCTACATCTGTCTAAGTTATTTTCAGAATCACAGTGTTGCCGCTTCATACAAAAAGTGGTAGCATCTTTGTTACATTAAATGGAACATCCGGTATATTATTACATTTTTCGAAACTTCTTTCATATCTGATATTTTTTCTATCATATTAACATATACCTATCTCTAAAATTTTTCGAGATAAAAAATAAAACATGTTTAAAATTGACAAAAATTTCATCTTGAATAAGCGTTTGTTAAATCATAAATTCTGCATATTTAAAGCTGAAATTTGGTTTATACCGTATGATAGAATAAAAACGGCGTCAACGATGACTATATGACTATGAAATGAAGATTGCTCTCATTTTATACGTAAAATTATATGGAAAATGTCATCGATCGTCATTTCCAAGCCAACTGGACGCCGTTTTTTTCGATCAAACGGTACCTAGGTTAACGATAGTCGACATATTCGACCAATCTAATTAACCTCGACCTATCAAACAGGGAGATCAAAAAAAATATTTATTTCGGTTTCTTATAAAATCATTGTTATTTTAAATTCAAACCTATTATTATTTAAAAAATCGAAATATGTCATGTTCATATACCTAAACCTTCTGTTACCATGACAAATGTACACCGTTACCAAGACAAATATTCAAACTTTGGAAGTATCAATTAGACTTTACTTGCTAAATTTCTAAAATTGTCATGGAAACGAAATTTTTGAAATGAGACAATATTAGAATTATTAATATTTAAAGAGCTCTACTTATGAAATTGGAAGGTTTAGGTATAGGAGCATGATATGTCATTGAAAAGATATTTTATTAGTTTTTTGATTTTTTAAATAATATACTTAAGGTTGAATTTAAAATATCAAAAATTGGAGCAATCACCAACGGAAATATATATATTTTTTTGCTTTCCCTGTGTAATATCAAATCAGTGGGTTTAGACAAATCGAATATACCGACTCGTTAATTTATAATCCAAATTTCAACTTTTAAAATATTCAGTTCATGATTTTACCAATGCTTATTCAAGATCATGTTTTCGTCAATTTTACACATGTTTTATTTATTATCTCAAAATTTTAGAGATAGATATAGATTAGTAAAATAGAAAAATTATGAGATATGAAAGTAGTTCCCAAAAAATGCAATAATATACCAGATAATCCATTTAAAATAAGAAAGATGCTACTATTTTTCAAATGATGCAGCAATATTTTAAAGCTGAAATTATTTTAGATAAACGGAGCAGGTGTTTATAAATCCAAATTTAAAAAAAATAGTATATACAGGGTGGTCCGAACTGTATTCCGGAAAATT